CCCCCCGGAGCCGCCGGTCTGGGACAGGAGGGGTGAACCCCCTCCATCATTTCACCCTGGATCCCCGTATCCACACACCCACGTGCGGGGCCCCACGGCCCATCCCCCCCGGCGCTGCTGTTCAGCGGGAGGAGAGGTCCCGGGGGGGGCCCCGTGCAGGACCAAGGCAGGGCTGCAGGGCCAACCCGCCCAAAAAGCACCGAAGGCGCGGGGGCCCGCCCATGCCCAAGCCCCCCGGTTCAGGACTGGCCACAGTCCCCCAAACGCCACTCGTGAAGGAGGGAACGGTGCTGGCAAGCAGGAAACAAGCGCCGGACGCGCTCCTTTCTTCCAGACAGCCAACACAGTTGTAGCAAGACCTTGAATAAAATAAAAACCCCAAGGGATCCCAAAACGCCACGCAGGCCACCCCAGGATTAGGTAGAAAGACGCTTCCAGGTGGTTGACTTCCATCGCTAGTACTGAAAAAAACCTAATTAAATAAAATTATGAGATAAAGAAATCCCCTTCTTCCAGACCGCCCCAGCGGTGCTCGGTTTACAGCCGTTATTTATTTGCTCATTTGCCAAACAGCCATCAGTACAGTCGTGCTCCGTTGTAGCAGCGCAGCATTCAAGTTAAGGAGATGGTAAAGTTTTAGGTACCGCTTTTTCTTTCTGAACTAGATAAAATTTACCTTTTTAAAGCAAATAAAGCGATAGTGCTACACCGCATCCCACTCATACGCTGCCGTTCAGCCTGCTGGCTGGAACAGCAGAGCACAGTTACACCCAGGGGGGTACGGACTCCCTCGTGGCATTACTTACCACCGTGCACTGGGGAGAGGGGGAGAAACTGGAAGCACAATCATTTGAATCTTTTGTTACTTTCAGCTGCAAAACATTTGTTTGAAAATCTCCCGTACTCGAGCAGAGCTGCAGCATGCAGCCAAGAGCAAGAAACAAGGAAGAAAATACAATTTTCAGAGGAAGACGCATTAAAGACGCAGATGCCAAGCCTGCAAGGCTGGGCCCTACCACCCCTCGCTCCCATCTCTTTTGTTTAAAGACACCAAGCTGGAGGGTGGGAAGTGCAGGACGGTGTCCCACTCACTGAAAACCTGATTTTTCCCCCAATTTATCCCATTTCTTCACTTCAACACACTATTCCCCCCCCTCCATCAGAAAAACAGCTGGAGGGGAAGTTGTCTCTCCACAGTTCTCAAGCCGTCTGCAGGCTGGGGTCGTGCAGCACTAGTCTAAGAACAGAGACGGCTTTTAAGCCCCATGGACCAACCAAGAAAAAGAAAGGTGCCAGGCTAAGGTGGATTCTCAGGGGGTCTGAGACCCAAGCCCTGCGTAACGCAGTGATTCGGGGACACCCTCACCATTTCTACCATCGCCTTTCCAGCAGAGAGGCTGGGCCAAGCGAGGCTGCAGGGTGGGTGATTGACCCCAGCAGCCCATGGCATCGGCTGTAAGCCGGAGGCTCCCAGGCCCAGCACAGCTCCTGCCAGCGCCCACCAGAACGGCTGTCCTCTCGCTGGGGAGCAGCACCCAGCTCAGAAATGCTCACTTGCCACGTTACTCACAGCAAGGTACAAAGCAGCTGCTCTGGCTATCGGCAGCAGGGTGTCTGACGGAGGACCTCCTCGCTGTTAGACACGCAGCTAGTCGCTAGCTAAGTTCTTCTCAGGGTTTTGAACCAGCAGACAAATCCCTTCTTTGTTGGTGTGGTACTAGTACAAGTAACATACGGATCACGCTTAAGAGCGGTAAGCAGGTACATGCAAACAGGCGTAAGTTAAGAGTGAAAGGGTTTAAGCAACGGCGCGAGCGCTAAGCCAGCATGCCAAAGTTACTGCAGTCCCGTGACAAAGAACGTCGGAGACAAGAGGAAAGCTGGGCAGTCCCCGTGTGCCATTCCCAGAGCCAGGCCACCCTGCGTATTTCATAAACTGAGCCCCAAACTGGCAGTGGCAGAGCAGGGCTGTCACTGAGAACTGGTTTTAGTGGAGCCAGGAATGACAGACTCAGAAGCGTTTAAGAAGCAGCATGGAAGACAAGTTTGAATCTTCACAGCTGGCAGAGCAGTTACTGCATTTTGTCTCTGTTTTAAATGAAGGCATCTGGGACCCTGGTCCCGCTGTCCGCATTCGCATCAGGCTCCTACAAAAATAACAGGAGCTCCTTCCTAGACCTCAAGGTTTGACCATTCCCCGCCCCAGATTCTGAGCCACATACCAGCACTCTCAAAATGATCCGCATATGACACATGTGACAGTTTGAGAGCCAGCAATAGGATAAATATTCTTCATCATAATATAAATATGTCGTAGAACATCTCAACAAGGGCAAAGTGCTTCTTTTTTTTCCTTAATTAAAACAAAACAAAAACCTAAATACGACTGACTCAACCACAACAGAAAGTTCAACTCCTAAAACATCTGAATAGTCTAAATTACACTTAGACTGACATTAAAGTGATCCAGGCAGAGTGCTCAGTCCTTCGGGACTCGGAAGTTATCCTTCTCTTTTCTGATGGCCCCCATCGTTCGGATGGGGTCGGTCTCCCCAGCGTGCTGCTGAACTGTCTTCTCCCTGCCAGGAAGGAACACCAGGGACAGCAAATGCAGAGACTGCAAGATAAAATCTCACATATGAAGTCACTGCTATCATGTTTCGCCTGCATCAGGGGGAAACTTAAAGATCAAAGGCTCAGGGCTTTGGCACGGGCTTATCAGCTCCCTTGGTTTAAATGCTCATTGGCAAGAGGAAATTGCGAACACTCTTGTGCCTTGAACAGCACCTTTTGCCATGCCTGTCTGCCAAAACCTGCTTGATGAAGGAAGGTAATTACACAAGAAAGCTTGGTCTGTCTCCTGAGTCAGGGACTTCAGCACTGGCGGGGACGCTCACCACAACCCTTCAAATTTCACTGCGGCAAGCTTCTGCCAGGACAGCAAGTACATTTTATTTATTTTATTCATTATTCTTGAAAGGCAGACATTTTAAAGAGGGTCTTGAAGGCATCACAAGAGGAACGTGCGAGGCAGCAGAGTAATTCCCGCTTAAGGCTCTTTTTTTTTGGAGACCTCCTCCTTCCCACATCCCCCCTCCAAACACAAGGACCATTCCCACACCCACGTTCTCCTCCATACCTCACTCGCATGAAGGGGTTGTACGTAAACTCTTCAGCAATGGTGGAAGGTATGGTTGGCTCACCACTGTCATACTTTGCCTGCAACACAGGAGAGATTTCTGCTTGATGAGGAACGTTTTGGTGAACAAGAAGTGTCCTGTATGCTAACCACACAGCGTTAGTGCTGCGCCTAACTGCCTGAGCTGCTCCTCAGGCCAGGCCCTTCCCAGGGCCACACACGCAGCCAGGCAAGGCACTGAGGTGCACAGGGAGAGACTCGGGACAGAGCTGACTCTGCCAGACAGACATGGACATCAGCCTGTAATTATACCAAGAAGTTTCCAGGGAGGGTCACATCTCCACCAGACAGCAAACCATCTTCTCTGGGCCACACACAAACCCTGTTCCCCAACCCATCGCTCCCCTGGACACACAACATACTGCAGCTCCTGGCTCTGAACTCCCTCCCCAATACTGTCCTCTCTCCTCTACCTCCCCAGAGAGGCTCTGCCTCCACGGTAGCATCCCACAAGTCTAGGGAAAGGATGAACAGGCTTTACCTTGGCCCAGGCAAGCTTCTCCTGGACACTGACATTATTGGGTTCAACATGTCGAGCAAACTTGAGATTGTTGATCGTGTATTCGTGACCGCAGTAAACTCTCTAGAAAGAGGAAGGAAGAGTGACAATGGGTAACTCTGAAAGGTGGAACGCCAGGCACCATCGTCAATGTTACAGCACAGCACGAACAACAGTGTCAACGCTCCAGGACATGTGACACTCTTCACTGAAGACACGCACAGGAGAAGTGCCAGGAGTTATCAGCCAGGACCATCTGCCAATTTAACAGCAAGCCTGATGAAAAAGCCCAGGCATCCCAGCTCTCTAGCTTAAGCAGCCCCTAATCTTTCCCCACTAAGCACAAACGTTTTTGGGGTAGGTGTTTCCCTTCCAGAGGACTCAGCTATTCAAAGACAATTCCTCATAAGCATTCATTCCTTCAACACATGAGAAATTCTCTCTTTGAACAAGAGTATTATCAGGAAGAGAGTTTCTTTGATGCCTGTAGTAGTTTCTGGCTGGTTAACTTCCTAGGACAAAAGGAGTGGTTCATACCGTTTTGGGGTCCAAGCTGCCCAAAATCTCAATCAGCGCTCTGTACATTTCCTCCGGGGTTCCCTCGAAGAATTTTCCGCAACCGGCCACAAACAGCGTGTCACCTGCAAGGGAGGCACGACATGGCATCAGGGCCAGACAAGGCTCCTCACACCAAAGTGTGCACACACGGTCACCAAGGGCTCAGTCCTGCCATTGCTGTCCTCACTGAGACAATTCCTCATAAGCATTCATTCCTTCAACACATGAGAAATTCTCTCTTTGAACAAGAGTATTATCAGGAAGAGAGTTTCTTTGATGCCTGTAGTAGTTTCTGGCTGGTTAACTTCCTAGGACAAAAGGAGTGGTTCATACCGTTTTGGGGTCCAAGCTGCCCAAAATCTCAATCAGCGCTCTGTACATTTCCTCCGGGGTTCCCTCGAAGAATTTTCCGCAACCGGCCACAAACAGCGTGTCACCTGCAAGGGAGGCACGACATGGCATCAGGGCCAGACAAGGCTCCTCACACCAAAGTGTGCACACACGGTCACCAAGGGCTCAGTCCTGCCATTGCTGTCCTCACTGCAGCTCAGCAGAAGGCACGGGGAGAGCCAGGCTACGCTGCTGCCCCACGTGGGCTCAGCGCTACGTAAACCCACGCGGGAAACACAACTTCTAATGCGGGAAACCCCACAGCCTCACCAGGCTAAGCCATGCCAGTGCTTCCCTACCTGTGGGCAGCCTCTAGTCCTTTCTAGAGAGGACAAGGAACACTCGTTCTCTTTGCTAGGAAGTTGAACAAAGATGAGTCGCCTCTGCAATTTCTCCCCAGTGCTCCCTAAAATCCTGCTTAAGCCGTTACTTCTTCCATGCAGCAGCTGGTGCAAGCCCTGGAGAACGCCCGTCAGGAGAGGGATGAGATGGCAGTCTGGGGAGACGGGGCGCAATCCCAGGGAAGGGGGAACCCTACTCTCCAAAGCAGGATCCAGAACCTGGCGGCCAGAGACAGAGCACTGGCCCTCTCTTACTCCCCTACCTTCTCTTCTCTCAGGTTTTTGGTTTTGGCTTGGGTTTTTTTTATAGATATGAGTACAGACATACGGAAAAGCAACAGGTTTTGGAATCAAGCCACAGTTTAGCCTGAGACAGTAGAACAACAGCTTTCATTTCAAGGAAGAAACTGCTAGACGCAGGACTCATCCAGGGCTTGCTCTTGATGTTGCTTGCAGGGTGTCCAGCAATGGTTTACAAACCCAGAGGGGTTTCACCAGTTTCATCTACCACTTGGTAGCTTCTGGCACGGGGGCAAGATGTGGATGTTAACCAGCTGCACTGGCAGTACGGGATGAATGCACATCCAGAGTCAGGAGCACACAGGCAGAGGGGTAGCTTATTTCTTTGCAACACAGACTGCCGGCAAGGTAACCTCCCAACTCCTCACCTGTAAAAACAGCAGGTGGCTCGGAGCTATTTGGCTTAGTCACATAATAACAGATGTGTCCAGAAGTGTGACACGGCGTACAGAGGCATTTCACATTAAGAGATCCCACCTGAGAAGAAGGCAGAAGACTAGAGCTTTAGCTACTGTTTTGCTAGCATCTGTATGGTTAGAATAGAATTGCAACTATTACAGCAGTCTAGTAGTCCTACAGGCAAATTTCTCACGTAGCTGGCCAGTAAACATCAGCTCTAGCTCCTGGGAGGGTCCAGCAAGAGAGTTTTACAGCAGGGACTTGGAAGGGGGCCGTTTTCCTCCTAGCAGGTGGTGTGAGAAAGAGAACCGCCAGATTCTTTCATTTACATGCAGAGTGACTCAGCGTTTGGTTGGCAGCAAGAGCAAACGATCCAGAGCAATGCAAAATCCTAAACAAAGTTAATCAAGTGTAAAAAGCTCCAAACAAAAATGAAGCTGAAAGGAAGAAGCGGATGACGCTCACGAAAAGGGAAGGATTAAACACATTCATGAGGCCAAGGGGATGTTTCCCCCACAGCCCTAATTTGCACACCTTCCCACGTTTTTCTGTGCTCTCCTCTTTGCTGCTGGCCCCCCCAAAGGTGCACGGCAAGACCAGCAGTGACATTCATGCCAGCCTGCGCGTTTCATAGCAGTTTATGTCATCTGCCAGCTCGCCTGTAAGCAAACAGCTAGGTTCCAACGAGGTTTGCTGCTTTAGCTCTGGAAAAGCAATGCAGGCAGCTAGCACTGCTGGCCCACTTTCTCTTCGCCCCCTATTTCAGCTGTCACTCAGAGAGGACCGCTCGCATTTGTTCGGTGCTAACTAGGCTCTGTGCAGAGCACAAGCCCTGTCCTTTCACTCGTCAACCACCCCAGTTAAGGTAGCTGTCAAGGAGCACACGGACACCCAGCGTGCCCCAGGCAACACAGGTGTCTGAGCCGTTCTCATCAACAAAGTATCATCAGCCAAAACAAGACAGAGGAGTTATGGTTCCTAGGGCTGGAAAAGGGCAAAAGCTGTAGTTAAACTATTGACTACATCAAGAGAAGTAGAGCTATGACCACGATACTAACTCAAGTTGGACCACACTGGTCCAGCTCCAAAGCTGTGACACAGACAGGAGCTGCCCCCAGCCAAGTCCTGCAGCTCACTCCCTTTACCTTGAGCGATGTAAGGTGAGACACTTTCTGTGTCAGTGCTCCAACTCTGCTGTCTCCCCCATACACACGCAACCCCGTCTCCATCTTTACGAGCTTCTCATTTCCTCCAGCATGGTCCCTGGAAGGCCAGAAAAAATGGATTTGGGCAGGGATGAAGACAAATTCATTGTAACTCACAGTGCAGCGGTAACCTCCAGGTGATAATTTCTGTTCTCCCGGTATCTAACTGTCCTCATATCAAAGGATATGCCACATCAACACGAGTGGAGATAATTTCTCCAGTAACTAGGGCAAGCGAGAGGGGGAACAAGCCCCACAGGTTCATACCTAACTGGGAAATACCAACCTTAGGGGCTCACGGTCAACTCTCCAGTAACTAGGACAGGGAGAGATCGGGGTAACTGAGAGGTATGTAACTCAGCGTCCTGCAAGACAGCATGGGGCAGGCGCACAGATGTCCAAACAGCTCAGCATTGGCTCATCGTGCTGGTCCTGGCTAATCAGGGCTGGCTCTCCAGCCACAGAGGTGGCTCCACTGTGACCCACTGGAGAGGGTACTCAGGTTCAGCACTGCAAAACTGCCAAAGCAAAACATTCTTCTTCATGTCCCTGGCAGAGTTAATCTGCAACCCAGGTAATCCTCCCACAACTGCTGACTGTGAGTAGCACACCTTACAGGCATGTCCTAGCACCTCACTGCGAGCGTGCTCCCTCTTGCTCTCCACAGCTACCTTCACACACATTTATTCACTGGCCACCTGGAAGAAGTCAGCATTTTAAAGGTTAAAGTCACTGACAAACAGAGTCTGCAGTCTAGACAACACATCTGCTCATCGCAAGCCCAAGAGAACAATTCCTGAGCTCAGATCCTTCTCCTCACGCCTAAGCTTCTGCTTAGAGAAGACCAACTTGATCCAAAAAAGCAACAATTCTTGACTGCTTGTGCTTATGCAGAGGGAAGAAGGATCCCACTACAGCAGATAGTTACCAGTGATGATGTGTGGTCAGGACAGTAGTCAGCTTCACGCCGTGCTTTTTGACCGCATCCAAAACCTGCAGGCACAGGGCACAGCAAGAGCATTACAACCTGCGTGAAATGACTTCATGGCACGCTTGGTGCCTGGCGTAATCTGGACACAGCTGCTCAAGGTTTGAGAGCGCCACACCAGCAACTCTGCAGAAAGCTGATCCCTCTCTAACTCACAGTAACAGAACAGGACACGAGGTCTCTGATCCAGCTAGCCATGGCCAAGCCCTCACTCCCATTTCCTCTTTTCTGCACTACACCAAACTAAGGGTAAAACCCCAAATCAGGTCAGTATCAGGGACAAGCTGCCTGAGCCCAGAAGCAGAGTGCCCGTGAAGCCTTGTCTGTACCTATGCACAGCCAGTATTTCCTGCCTTTCCCCCACGCCTGACTCAGCATATAATTCTCTTGTGGATGTGGCAACCTGGAAGGATCTCCCAGAGCCGCAGTGGTGAGCACCCCGCTCACAAGGGCAGCGGACAGCATTACCTTCTGGGGCTGCACAGGATCAACGATTGCAGCCTCCTTCGTTTCCTCATCGATGAGAAGGTACATGTAGTTGTCTGTGAGGGCTGGGAGTAATTCCACCTTCATGTTGGCTTGCGTGACCGTCTTCGACTGCCTCCGCTCGTGCTCTGTGTGCAGGAAGACAGCTCGCAGCTGCGCTGGACCTGGGGACCCAAAACCTCAGGGTCAAATCTCAGGTTAGTCCAGAGAGGGGAATAACTGGCCCAGAGCACAGCAGGTCCCCCAGCCCATGGCCCCAGAGAAGGAAGGGTATGGTCAGCCCAACCTGCCTCCTTCAGAGGAAGAGGAGAGAGGCCACTGCAGCACAGAGTGTCAGTGCCTGGCTGTGTCACCTCGTGCCCCACAACACAGGAGGCTCTTGGTGCCCTACAGCTGCACCACAGAGGGACGAAACGCTGCTCCGAGAGATGTGCTTATGAGGGCAAAGCTCTGTACCTCGACTGAAGAGAAGATTTCAAGGGGTAGGAAAGCAGAACGGAGAGGGAACAGTTGGACAAAGGTCAGCACAGGACAGTGACTTTGCAAAAAAAAGCACAAAAGGCCACAATACAGCCAAAAGACAAAAATGGAAGGGGTGGGGGGGAGAAGAAATACAGAAGTACACACACCGCTACAACAGAAGTATCTGGCCCATTATTTGGGGAAAAAACAACCTGCACAGTGCACGGAGAGAAGACAGGCTCTCTGTGTGGAAGGCAAGGCTCCCTAGCTGGCCAGGTACCAGGCACGCACTGTGGGCAGGTTTCTTGCTCGCAGGCTACCCTGATGCAACAGCAGCGTTTCCCTATTTGCTTTTGGTTAAATGTTTAATCAGATCCAAGAAGCAAATCTAATTCCAGATGTAAATCACCTGGGTTCCACCGTTCAACTCACAGATACGCAGTTCTTAAAGAAACAACCAAGCCCTAAGAGGCTCTGCCATAAAAAAAAAAAGGAAGGGAAACGAAGAGGACAAGGTCTTCCATTGCTGGGGCCCTGCAACTCAGGCATGGGTCCATGCTCATGCAGGGAAGGAGGTGTCAGTCTCTGCAAGTCAGAAATCAGCTGTCTTAATGCCCAAGGCCCTCGCACACCACTGAAGGGGACTATGTTGGTCTGAAGCGGGCTGGCTCAGCCCCTGTTTCATTTTGCGCCACTGACTCTATCTCTAAGGCTCTCAATGCTCGGCGCTTGGTCACCTCCATCAGTGCCAAAGGGAGGGGTCACCATGCTCGTAATCAACCTGCCCCACTCTCCCAAAACAGATCAGTCCTGCCCACCCCTGATAAGAGCTCACTTTAGAGAGGAGAGGCCCCACAGCCTGGCTGCAGCCAAGACGACATCCCGCCCTCAGCTCCGCAGACCGACGGGACCAGCAAGGCTGCAAAACCCAGACCTGAGTTCTGACAGGGGCATAAAGCTGCGGCAAACCCAGCCCCAGGGCAGCAGGAGCTGTAAGGCCCCTCTGGTACAACTGTCCTGCCCAGAACTTTTTGCCCTTCTACCTCCACCATTTCACTTGCTTCTGAAGGAAAGGAGGTAAGGAGGGGAGATGGAAGTAAAATCAAACACAGCGCTGCAAAGAACACCCCACGGCACAACAGTGTAGGCATGCACGGGGTATTTGACAGTGAAGGCACAAACTACTGAGAAAAGCATCCATACCTGCTGAGTGTTCCTCTGGAGCAGGAGAGTCCTTTCAAAAAAAGAACAAAACAAACAAAAAAATCCCCTCACTATTCCTTGATAGAAAAAAAAAAAAAATTATCACTTGCTTTTTAACTGCTCCCCAACATGAAACACTTTCCTTTGGATGCTCTCCGTCACAAGAGCTGTATATACTGCATGTTTGTTTGCATGCTAGACACTAACTGGAAAAAAATCCACAAAAAACAGAAAACCAGAAGAATACACAACCTCGACTTCAAGTCAAAAGAATTATTCACATACTTAAAATGCTTTCTTCCTATGAACCATTTCTAACCTTGGCCATGATCCCAGAGTCTCATTGCATTCTTGGAAAACAAACAAACAAGCTACACTGCACAAGGCAACGTTTTCTGAAATGTAGTTTAAACGAAGGACTGAGAAAACATCCACAAAGCACAAATACTTGTTCTGAATTCCCATCTGCAGCTAAGCTGCACCTTTCCAGCCTGCCCACTCAGCGAGCAGACCAGAAGTGTTCTCACACACGCCCGGTGCTGCTGTAACGAGAGGGGCGTTCTTGGACCCCGTTCTGCGCAGAAAAGCTTCCCAAGCGACACATAACCCCCGCCCCGGCCCAGCGCTAACACCGACCGTTTCAGGATCGCTGCAATGCAAGCAGGTCTGCTCCAAAATTAATGCCCAATGACTTCATTTTCACTCGGTTTTGTAACGCGTCCCTCCTGACTTCATGCCTGAAGCAGAGAGGACTGGGGAGAGCAGAACACCAGCAGCCTTTGAATCACACGCTTCGGCTTTCTGGAACGGTTCATTAGCACAGCTCAGGTCGCCAAGAAGAAAGGGTTTGCAGATGGGAAGTTATCACATAAGCGCATGCATGCTGGAGACTGAAGGCAAGCAGGCAGCAGCACAGTTTAACGGTAGGCTCCCTCAGAAAAGGGATGCTTCACGCTTTTTCTCCATAGCGTTTTGGTTTACTCTTTTCATTGCAGAAAAGAGTGGAAAATTCCAGTTTCAGACATGGCTGTCACTCAAAAATGGCTGCACATAAATACTCAGATGAACATCCCTGTGTTGCCTCATAAGAAACACTACATTCACTTTTTACGTGCCTTGCACACAGATGGCTTTTTGGATACCCAGCGAGTTTGTGACTCCACAAGCCCCCCGTAACTCCTGCTCCCACTGGACTTGCCCACCTGGCACACGCTGCCAGCGGCACAGCCGGGTCCAGCCAGCATGGGCAGGGCACGCACCCACCCACCAGTGGAGCAAAGCCTGCGTGGAAGGCGCAGCGCCCACCCTGCAACCTGGGGAACTCGGGAGCTGCTAGTTACTCAGTCTGACATACTTGTTCCCAAGGTAGCATCAGGGTTTCCAAGTCTGGCGGTTAACTCCAATGGATATTCACTCATTATTGCCAGGTCTTAAAATTGGGAGTGATGCAAAAGGCAAGACCTCCCAAAGATGCTGAGAAGTTAAAGCCCAAGCTCTAGCTCAAGAAGACGCTGTCAGAATTTAGGCCCTAAATTTAAATGCAGAGCTTAGCCAGTTTTGGTTTTGTTTTTTGTTTACACTGCCAATACAGTCCGCCATCCACCAAACCCAGTTTAAATGCCAGCCCCGTCCCCCAAGCCCTCCTCCCGGAGCAATAACCAGCGCTTCGGCAGCCCAAGAACTCCGCAGGAGCCTCCCTAGATGGGTTACCCATGTGAAAAGCCACGGAAAGAAACAGGCTCCAGCTGAGCAGATACTGACCTACTTGGGGCTGTGAGTCAGCTTAAAAACCTCGGCGCACCCCTGAGCCGAGAAACGAGAAGAGGAAAATCATAGTCAAACCTCCGAGCTTGGCGG